AAGCAAAAAGTGAAGCGACGATGGGGCTGGCGAAGCGCGTGCCCGAGATCCTCGGGCTCCTCTTCACGGCAACGACCGGCTCGCTCTTCTACTGCCTCGCGTTCTCCAAGTACATTCGGAGCAGCGATACCGTCAACAACATGCTCGGCTACAACACGGCCGCGCTCGCCTTGCACCAGCGCATGCTGCCGTACTTGGACTTGGACGCGCTGTCGGCTGGCTACGGCACGCCCATTACGTATGCTATGCTCAACATGAACGAGACGGGCATCTCGATGCGCATGCGGCTCTCGGCGGCAACATTAGACCTCAACCACATGGTGACGCCGGGGTCCGCGCTCTTCTTCTCCAACATGGCACTCGCAACCCTCGGCCTCAACGTCACTTCGTTTCCAGTCGCTTGTGCATGGGCGACCAATACGACCAAAGGCATTAGCGTCACGACCAAGTACTCGACGTCGATGGCCGGCAAGCCCAACGCCGGGGTCACGTGGGCCGGTATCAACAACCTCCCGACGACGATCAAGGCGACGACCAACATCGCGACGCTGACTGCGATGGTTGTTGACGCGGTGAACGGGCGTTGTCAGTACAACCTCAAGCTCTTCCACAACGAAGCGTTCGAGCTATGGACACCAACGATGATGAGCTTCAACATTTACGAGACCAATCTGCAAGTGATCGACACGGGCGCTCGGCCGCTCAAGTGGACCTTCAACCCGAACGAAGCAACGTTTAGCTGGTTCTTTTACCGGCCGCGGTCGAGCGAGTTCAACAACGTTGCATTGGCGTCGCAGCTCTTGACGATCGTCATCATCCTCTCCGGGTTTGTCCGGCGCGTGTCGTTCTCGACGCCGTCGGGGCACAAGAAGAGTCTCTTTCGCTTCTCCGTCGACCCGCTCTCGTCCCAAGCCAAGTACTACAACGCCGGCCTCGTCAACTTTCTCGAAGTTTACATCATCGTGGCCGACCGGTACATGTTTTTTCGAACGGTGAACGCTCTCGACTTCTTCATGGCCAACGACTGGGGCTTCTCGCGCTGGCTCATGTACTTCAACTACGCCAACCTCATGGGCAGCGTGTTTTGGTTCGTCCTCGGCATGCACAAGGCCATCGCGCTTCTGCTCTATGGCATCTCGTCCGTCTCGAAGCGGACGATGGCCATCAAAGCCAAGAAGCGCCGGCGTCTCAGCCACGTGCGCTACGATTCGCATGGCGCTCGAAAGGCCGACAAGAAATCGCCCTCGCGCAAAACGAGCAAGTCCAAACCCGTGGGATCGGGCTTCAACTCGTTCACGGGCATCGAGCCCCGCGAGTACTCGGGCAGCTTCCAGCGCGAGACAACGTCCGAGTGGATCGTGCTGGTGAAGGAGGCAACGCGGCCCCGCCCCGACCTCATCCTGGCGTGCATGCTCCTCTTCCCGTCAGTCTATTATGCGGGCTTCTTTGGCGGCGCGACGGCGTGGGCGCCACTGAGTACACTGAGCTACTCGGCGCTCGGGAGCAACCTCGGCGCGGACCTCATGATGTGGAATTTGATCGTGTGCGCTGTCGTGACGTTGCCCCTCAACGGGTTGTATCTGATCTGGGAATACCGCGGGATGGCGGGCAATGGCTGGGTCCAGTTGCGCCAGCCTGCGCGCGCGTACTACAACGATATCGTGCTCCTCAAGCCCAACGAGCGCCTTGCGGTTGTGACCGAAGGCCAGATCGACTCGATCTTGGGCATCATCAAGCTCTCGATGACAAAGCGCCGACTCCAGAAGCTCGGTGAGACGGTGCAAGTTGCATACTCGCTAACGATCCACGAGGTCATGCACGACTATGTCATAAGCGAGCTCGAGGCCATCTTTACGGTGTTTTTGGCGGTCGATATTGAGGCCACGTACGGCTGCCTCGTGCAGCACCCGGTCGGCCCCAACCCGTTTTACAAATACCCCGTCTGTGAGATCAGCAACTACCGCCACCGCGGTGTGCTCCTCACGTGGCCGCGACCGACCAAACCTGGCATTGACGAGTGGGATTTTCAGCAAATGTTTCTCAAGCGCATCCATCTCGTCGGCTCGTCCAACAACCCGACGTTCCTCGGTCATGACGCTTCGGTCGCGATCGACGAGACGACGGCAGTTGGTGACGACGTCGTCGCAGCCACCGAGCTCCCAATGGCGAGTCGCAGCAAGGTCAAAGCACTGCCCGAGCTCAAGAACCCGCCGCGGTTGCGGTCGAGCGAGGCGGCGTTGGATCAGCGCACGGTCACCGACTCGTTTGCGTCACCACTTCGACGCACTGTGTTTGAAGCCAGTGAGCTGAACGTCGAAGGCCCTGACGGGAACAGCGACGATCCCGAGGTGACAACAACGCCCGTGTACGCTGCCACGTCACTCTGCGAGTCGTGACTAGCGTGAGACAGAGCGCGAATTCTCGTAACGTTATATGAATATATATACTAGTATGTATATGTACATTGAATGATTAGTACGTGTTCTCTAGCACCAAATATGCAATCATGCTGAGCCATCTCGTTCGGCGACAACCTGTCTGCGACTGTTCTTGGGCTTCTCGGAAGTCGAAGATCGCAACGATCCGTGTCGTTTAATAGCTCAAAAACAATGTCCGATACAAAACCCGAGTATAACGGTATTAAAAAGAGGCAAGATTTCGGACTCGGTGAAACTGCTGGTATTTTTACTCGGCGGCCATTTTGATTTTCATCGACCGCGGAGGATGAACGACCGCCTCGCAGAGCTCACGGGTACGACGCGATGCGACCGCGATGCATGACCGCCATGTAGGCAAGAGCTCGGATGTGACGATCGACGTCTCCGAGGTAGATGATGCGAAAGCTCCATGGAGACGATGGTTCATGCTCGTGTAGGCCTCGAGGTAGACCGTTCTCCATGCATGTGCCCGTCGCCACGGCGCATGTAGCACGACCGAGATCACGCGGCCCAAGTTTATGGAAAAGTTCTTTGTCGACGTCGAAGACATGCAGGCTGACCTGAGCAAGATCGGGTAGATGCACCTGGCTTCGACCTAGCTTCCACCATGATCCTAGGCTCGCGACCGACCGCATTGGCGAGCTTAACCACCAAGCCTTGCTGGCGACTGCCGCCGGCGAAGAGCAGAGTACGAAACCCTCGCTCTTGACTGTCGCCATATGATCACGGCTTGTAGCGATTAGCCAGGAGCTGTGCTTGGTCATCGACAACAGCAACAAGATTGCTGCCCACGCCAAGGTCCATCGACGCTCCTTCTTCGTCGCTCATGCAGCGGCGTCCAGGGCATGCTCGAGCTCATCAAGAAAGAGTCGGTCGAGAAGAAGAAGGACAAGACGGTCGCGGCCTCGGAGATCCGGTACCACCAATGTGTCCTGCTACTTGGAGACTAATTGTGGTCGTCAGGATTCGAGACAACATGTCGACGACGCTCACGCGCAAGTTTATGGACACCATGAAGGAGTACCAAAAAGCTCAGGTATGACTTCGTACATACTACCATAGATGAATGTCAATGTATCAAAATAGCAAAAATTCAAAGCCGACATGAAGAACAAGGTCAAGCGGCAAGTGCAGATCGTCAAGCCAGATGCGTCCGAACAAGAAATCGATATGGTCATGCGGTCGGCCGACCCAGGTACGACGCGATGCACGTCGCAGCACTCATACGGACGACGACGTAGGGGCGATCTACCGCAGTGCGATCCTGCAAGGGAGCGCCGAGAGCATCAAGGAGGTGTACATGAACTGCCACGACAAGTACCAAGATGTGCTCAAGCTCGAGCAAAGTGTGGCCGAGCTGCACCAAATGTTCCTCGACCTCGCGCTCCTCGTCGAGCAGCAAGGCGAGATGCTCGACCAGATCGAGTTTCAAGTCAAAGCGGCCTCCAACTACATTGAGGCTGGCAACAAGGAAGTGTCGAAAGCGATCCAGACCCAGAAGAGCATGCGGAAGAAGCAGTGCTGCCTTCTCGTGTTTGGGCTTGTCCTCATCCTCATAGCGGTCGTTGCTGCCGGTGGCTTCAAGTAGACACGCAGTCGCATGTAATACGTGTCGTGTTGGCTCTTTCATGCCTCGTTTGGTGTCGCAGAGATGTATGGTCTACGCCTCCTTGATCGCGCCCTTGAACACTTGGCCGAGCGCCGCCTTGAAGCAGTCGATGTTGTAGTCGATGATGCCTTGCTTGGTGAAGTTCTCCGAGCGCAGAAGGCACACGAGGGCGAGGTAGCTAGTCGTGCGCATGAGCCGTCCGCAACCAACGTGCCATCAGGTGCGTACTTGTTGACTTCGCGAAGGTAGAGCACCATGCCGTTGTTGAGGCGGATGACCGACGACGACTCGGCGTCGTAGGCGAGGCCGTCGCCATCACCGTCTTCCTTCATGCTACGCGAAACATGAGACTTGGAGTTGATCCTAGAGGACACTGGGATACCCATAGATGCACGAGACGTCAATGACCACGTCGATCATGTCGCTGCAGAGCTCGTACGACTGCATGTCGACCGGGTTCGAGTCCGTCGCGATGTAGACCTTGCTGACGACGTCAAAGAGGAACGATTTCTCCATGTTGCAGCTCGAGATGAGAATGTTGAGGAGGTTCTCGAGCGTCGGCAGCTGCGGAATGAGCTTCTGGACGACCTTGGAGAACGCCTCAAAGATGCTGTGGTCGTAGATGCTCGTGAGGTAAAAGCTCATGTGGATGTCGAGCTCGCCGTCGTTGATCTCGTCAAGCACCTGCTGCTGGATCTCGCGCTGGCAGTCTGCCGCCCACGATGAGGTTACCATGACGAGGACGAGGAGCGTACCGATCTTGTGGTCGTCCGAGACAAAGAGGTCGCCGTCCACCTTGTGGATGAAGACTTCGAAAAAGATGTTGGGGTTGTAGCGGTGCGCCCGCGTGACCGTATCGTGGAGCCGCGACAGCGCATCCGAGTACGGCTCGTCCTAGATACACCCTTCTATGCATCCTGCAGATATCGTCGTCGCTACCTGCGCGTCAATCACAAACACAATTGCGCCGCAGTTGCCAAAGATCATCTCTTCGTTCACGAGCTGGCCACCGTAGACCAAGTCGTCTAGGCAAGGTATAGTGAGCCTGCTCTGGCGAGAACGTCGAACGCACCTTTGAACTCAAAGTCGCCGGGGAAGTCCCAGATCTGGAACTGCACGAACGAGTTGTTGGCAATGTACTTGATGTCGAGCGTGTTCGTGCCCTCGAGGAAGAGCGTCTCGTGCGGCGACATCTTGTGGAAGACGACGCGCTGGATGCTCGACTTGCCGCTCCTACGCCACATGACCATCGTGCGTCGGCGAGGTGCAGGCGCACCTTCGAAGGCCCATGAGGAGGATGCGCGGCTTGTTCTCGCCGCTCAGCGACCCGCTCTCGCCGTCATCAAATCTACGGCAGCGTCATCGCGATGGCCAGTAGTGGCGGCAGTACCCTTGCGACATGGAGTAGCCATCTACAAGAAGAGCATGAGCCGCCATGTTCCATCGCATGCGCCTGCCACGTACACGAGTTGTCGCCCCACGCCATGTCCATCGTCGACCTTGCGCTTCCTTCTTGACTGAGGATTGCCGCAAGTCCGCTTCCGGATACAATCCGGAAAACATTCACTATTCACGAATTTCTATGCCCACACGATTTAAGTGCATTGGACGGAATAGTGTTATATTGGCGGGTCCGAGCAGCTTCGCACAGCATCTCGACAGCCACAGAGAGATACCAAGCAAGCCTTGGCACTTCTTGCCCCAAGCTCTACTATCCTGCGTAGCGCTCCCTAACTCGATGCCACCGGAAACCTCGCTAGGCTTCCTCGCTCGACAGTTTGGCTAAACCCACCCAACTTGAACCCAGTGACGAAGGACTATATTACCGAAGTGTCTGTCGATGACGAGATCCTTGGACGAGAACCATCAAGGGATATAGTTATTATATCCCTTGAGAACCATGGACTATCACTGCTTTCCCAGCTCCTTCCATTCGCAGCAGCTCTGCCGATCAATAATGCGTCGCCCTCGCTCGCGTGGCAACGATGAGGTTGGGTTCTTCTAGACTTGCGAGAATTCGTTCCGGGAGAACTCGGTGCGGGCGGCGCCACGGACAAAGCATGGCCACGGCGGGCACGAATAAATTAGGCGCTTACGTCATCCGGTGGCGCTTGGTGGACGGCGGGTACGGGTCGTCGTCGTTCTCGACGTCCGTCATGTCCATGGCGCCGTGCGAGTCGGGCGACACGATTGTCATTTGCTCAATCTCGTGCTCGAGGCCACGCCCGCGCTTCCGGGGTCCGTGGACGTTGCGGTAGCGCGGGTGGCGCGCAAAGAGCAGACCAAAGTGAATGCCACCTTGGAGCGTGAGTTGCACCTACGTTGGCCGTCAGCGTTTTTGCATGGAACAAGCCATGCCTACATCGCGGCGAAAGGCCTGGGGACTATGGCGGAACGCATTCGCGGCCGCTTCATTCATGGGAAACTCGATGCTGGGTTCAATAAAGATGAGCTAACGTGCGTATATGATAATGGTCGGGTCGAGGAAAGGCGAGAGATGCACCTGAAGGCCAAGCAAGATCGTATTGATGCTCAGGACCGGACGCCAGTCCTTGCCGAGAATCGCAAACATGACGCGGCCCGTATGCAGGTCAATGTTCGGGTGCCAAATGCGGTCGAGGCTAAAGACGACAGGCGCTACGAAGAAGAGTCGAGACGATGAGCCGCGGTGGCGCAGCATGATGTACCGTGGAACGGGTACGCCTTGGGGATCTCGATGCGAAACTTGAAGTCGCCATTGGCGTACGCGCTGGCATGGTCCGTGATCGCGATCGTGATGAGGATACGGAGCAGGTTGTCCACGCCGTCGGGGAACTCGATCTGGGTCGTCGCATGCTCGACGGCGAACTTGCCCTTGGCCAGCTAGTACATGGCGGGTGAGGCCTCGTCATGGCGCCAGCGGTCTACCTCGTTCAGGTCCTTCCGCACGCGGAGCGTCGCTAGGTCCAAGCGCGAGCACATGTCCGTCTCCTCGTCGCTCAATTCCGGACTGGTTGCTCTGCGCGATAGTGTGGCCGAGTGGTGGTTTTATTTCCGCTCGTGGCGCATTTAATGTCGCTTGATACAATTATCAAGTGACTGTTGGATCCTTTTATTATTATTATTGTACGTTGCATATTTTTATAAACGGAGATTTCAGAAAAAGCTCACCGTTGCCCTGGACCATGCAGCTTGGATCCTGCAAGGCAAGATGACGACCTCCCCGAGCATGGCGCATGGTCGACCCGCAGCGATAGCCCTGCTGGCGAGGCAAGGCGAGCGCGGCTGCATGCGCTGGCAACGGCGGCTGCGATGGCTGGCGGACCATACCTGGAGCGTGAGCTGGCAAGGTGGCAGCACGTGCTGCTGACGACACGCCGCTTACTAGCATGCGGTGTCGTGCAAGATGCGCTCGATCTTTTCCGTGACGTCGCGACGCTCGGCCAACGTCTGTCGAGCGATGCTGAGAACGCCATGATCGGCTCCATGGCCGTTCTGGGCTTGGTGTTGCAGGTCGTCATGGCGTTGGTGCGGGGGCAAGGTATGGTCGTTCAGTGGTGGCAAGAGGGTTGGCGAGAGCGGTGGCAGTCGCCCTCGTCGCTTGGGCGTCGACCGGCATTCGTGGGAAGCAAGCACCGCCGCGGCTATGGACACGTTGCAGCTCGGGCAGACCAGCGGTCGTTCGGGGCACAAGTGCGTCTCGTGGCTCTCTAGCTTTATTCTGCGCACTCTGGCGCCGCACCCCAGGCGACAGAGCACGCTGTCGTCACTTACGCTGGGCGCCACGAGGGGTAGATCCGGCGACACGAGGATCTGCGCCGGAAAGAGCGCCGTGTCGCCACCCGCGGCGGGCACGTGCACGACCGGCGGTCCCGACCGGGGCCTCAGCGGCTCTACAAGTGGCATCGCGACCGGTGGTTCTGCATCGCCAGAGACATGCGCGGTCCAGCGCGCCTTGTACGCAGTTGCGCTGGCCGCCTCGATCTCGGCCGCCAACTCGGCAGGCGACGGGTCGGCGGCGCCGTCGTTTCGCCGTTGTTCGTGAACCATCTGGAGCGCGTGGGCCGTGACCTTGCCAGGGCGGATCGGCGAGACGACCAAGCTGGACGTGTCGACGGGCTGCACAAGCGCACCTTTGCGCGTGAGTCGTGTGACGCCGGCGACACCGACCGCGGCGGCCGCGCCCCACGACACGGTCTCGGCCCCGAGCATCTCGAAGATGCCTGTGCTGTTGAGAAGCACGGTGGCGAGCAGCGGCAAGACGCCCACGCGCAGAAGGATGCCGATGGGCTCGGTCACGAGGTGCGTGAGCACCAAGCCGGCGACGACCGACCCGACCCAGTGTAGCGCAACGTTGGCGCCAATGAGGAGCGAGAAAAGCAGCACAAAGTAAATAGCAAACGCTGCGACCCCGGCGCACATGCCATACAGAATATAGTGTACCCACGGCGGGAAAACGGGCGCCTCGATGCGGCTCGCCTCTTGGCGCAAAATGGTGTTGTAGAGCGCGCGCGCTGGCGCTGAGAGCGACCGCACCTTGGCTTGCTCGGCCTCGTAGCGCTGCCGCTCGTGCAAAGGAAGCGCGGCCAGTCGCCGGGCCTCGGTCGCCTCGAGGTACAGCTGCAGTCGCTTGCGGTACCGAGCTAGTCCGTGGAGGTGCTGTACGATCTCTCGCTCTTGCGCCGCAATGCGCTGACGCTCCTCGCGCTCGATGTGCGCTGCGTACGCCCGGCTCTGCTTGAAGCGCTTCACGACCGACTGGAGCATCGCCGTTGCCCGCTGGACGCGCGCCACTTTGTCGATCGAGTAGCGTCGCGAGCGGCGGTGCAACACAAGCCGGCGTCGGAACGAAATGCGGTGCGTTAGAAGCGCGCGCGCTTCGAGGAGCTCGAGCTTGGCGTTCTCGACCGCAGTCGCCATACGCTGGACCATGGCCTGCGCGTCTTCAATGTACGCGTCGGCGCTCGCGAGCACCGTGCGCGCCCATGCGACAAGGCTCCGCGCGACCCGCACCTCGTCTGCCGGAATCGGACCGAGCGATTTCACCGGCAGCGAAGCAATGTGCGCTACCGCTGCCTCCAAATGTTGCGAGGCGGCGCGAAGCGTCGCTTCAGACAGGGCCGCGGGCTCGACATTGGTTAGCTGCGCGTGCAGTGTCTTTTGCCCCCACATGGCCAAGAGCATGGGCAGCGCCGCGTCAGAAACCACCTCGACCACCGGCACCTCGTCCTCGGTCGACGCTTGTACGGCGACTTTGGCCGACCGCCGGGCGTCCTGCATGACCCGAGCAACGTGCGCTGCACCGGCGTCGACAACGTCGCTAGCATCCGAGTCCGCGCGGTTGGAGACGAGAGAATGCACGGCCATCGACACATGGCCGGCGAGCGTTGGCATGCCGTTGGCCTCGAGAACACCGACGCGTCGCAGATGCGACAGCGCGATTTGTAAGTCGCGGGACGGTATATTCGCAGCGAGCTCTGTGAAAAAGACAATATAAAACCGAGTTGCGACCCAAAAGGAATGTGTAGTTGTTAGTACCTTGGTGGTCGCGCTTGCGGATGCAGTATTGCGACTCGTCGACGGGGTTCCCGTAGGCGTCGACTTGAACTTCAACGATCGTCGTGTCGTCTTCGAGCTGGAGGCGCAGCACGTACTGGTCGCGCGCACCCGACTTTTTAAACAGCAAGATGAACTAGCAGCTAGTGAATACCTCTACTAGCCACACGACAATGTACCGCGATCGTCACGGGAAGCATGCAGATGGACGAGACGGTGCCACTGACCACAGTCGTGCCCGCGTTTGGCGTGAGCGCGCGCAGCTTGTACAGGATCGCATTCATGAGCAGCTCACTCATGGCCGCTGTGAAGAGCACCATGACGCGCTGGGGTCTACGTACAGTTCATCGTGCTTTCTTCTGTTTGCCAAAAGGGAAGAACTGACCTCGTGTAGTGCGGGTCGTAGTGGAAGAACATCTCTAGCACCTTGTGGTTGTCCTTGAGACCTGCCCAAACGCTCTTGCAAAATGCGCGGAGTCGCGCGCGGCGGGTCGGTGCGACCACGAACTCCGGTGGTTCGTACAATTTCGGGGGCACGTAGAGGTGCTGGGCGTCGTCGCGCCGGCGCCGCTGCTCTTTGGCAAACACCAGTGCGTCGTGGGCATCCCACTGCAGCGACAAGTGCAAACTGAGAAGGTACAGGCCGCAAAAGACGCCGAGGGTGATGGGAACCGCAGCGTTGGCCTCGATGAGCTCGGGCGTAATGCGCACACTGAGCGTCTCGACAACTTGGAGCTGGACCGCGTCAAAGGCTTCAACAATCTGGGTGCCAAAGTCCGTGAGGTGCGTGCAGTTGCAAGTGATGGCGTCCGTGTCGTCGGCAACGACAACACAACCGTCGGAGGCCCACGCCCGCGCCTACGACCACCGTTGGAACCGCCCAATTGTGTAGAAGCGTTGAGTTACCGAGGCATTCCAATACTGACAGCTCGGCACGTGGCGACGACGAGGACAGGTGTACTGAATCGTATAGTTGGCCGATCCGTTGCAGGCCAATATCGTGGGCTCGGCGCACGGCGTGACGATCGTCTCGTTGCTGCCAACGACACAGTTGTACGACGCCGACACTCGAGAAGGAACGACCGATGGAACCTATTCCAGTGCTCTAAGATTGATCGGCGAGAGCGTACGCAACCTGCGGCTGCAGCTTGGCCATGCGAATCTGCATCGGGCGTGAGAGGTTGGCGACCGAAGCCGGTGTTGTCGCATAGTCGCAGTACATATCGATGCCAAGAACACCGGATGTGAGGGATGCGTTGTCACTCGATGCGTACAGGTTGCGTCGGAAGAGCTTCATGTGGGTGTCAATGGCTAGCGTGCAAGTCGATGCCAACGGAAGCCCCGCGGGCAAGGTGAGACTTGTCGTAGCCGCTTGTTGAGCGATTTGGGAAGTCATTTGCGGCACGCTCAAGGTGCTTCCTGCCGCTGCCAACGCCGGATGTACGCGTCGCACGGCGAGACGCAAATTGGGAGTCACGAGTGTTGCCGGCGCCTCGCCAGGCACAGCCGAGACGAGGAGCGCTGTCGCCAGCATATCAACGACGGTCGAGGCGCTGTCCGTGAATATTGTCGCTCCAGAGAGCTCGAGAAGGCTAGAGATTGTGCCGCCAAGCGTGGTAAGCGCTGTCGACGACAAGAGCGTCATGGAAGACGGTGCCAGCACGTCTAGCAACAAACCAAAGGTCTGCGCTGCCTGGCTTGACGAGAGAAGGTCGGCGTTGGCGGCGATGCTGTAGAGCGCGGCACTTTGCTGCTCGAGGCTTTCGACGGTGGGGTTGATGGACAAGGCCGCGGTCGCCACCGCGTTGAGCAGGGAGCCGAGCGCGGCTTGCTGGGCCTGCAACGTCTCTGCCGATGCACTGCAGTCGTGGGCAAACCTATCGACAAGTCGCGAACGATGTGGCGCAAGACCGTATGATACCAGTTGGCGGTACAGACGCAAGATGCGACGCAGTTGGCGTCGGTCGCATGGCACGCGGGAGGATCCAGAGCGCACGAACCGTGACCCGAGCATACTGCTTGGCCCGTCGTCGAGCAGACAGCGTTGGGGTCGACAACTGCCGAGGGCAGCGCGGCAGCGAGCTGCGTCGCGGTGCTCAACACCGCGCTGGGATCGTCGTGCAAAGCTTTTGCTTCCAGGGACGTGGCTTGTGAAAGAACGACCGTCGATGCAGTGGGGAGCGCGGCCACTTGGATCGTTGCATACTCTTTGGCGACAGCGCCAAATACATCGACAACGTACCCGACGATCGTCACCGACCCGTTGACACCCGCCGGCAAAGTCGTGATCCATGACGTCGTCAGTGAGTACTCGCAGAGAGGAACTTCAACCGCGCCCGTCTACCACAATGTGATAACCTGACTCACAAACGACATCGTACGTCAGTAGGGAGACCGCGAATGTACTTGAAGGCAAAGCGAAGGGGCAAGGCGACGCCGACCCAGTTGCGACTGGTCAGCGTGAACACCGTGGTGAGCGCAACGCCCGACGTCGGCGTCACCGCCACCTATGCAATATGAACCTCAGCTAAAGACGGCATGGCGTCGGCGAACCGAGCCGCTGGTTGGTAGCGCATTGGTCGTGAATGACATCGACGCGGTCGCAGTTTGCCCGAGCGAATCGGCGCCGGTAAAGAGGAACGTGTATGTTTTCTGCGGCTCTAGCGCGCCTGGCCGCAGCACCATCGTCCACGACGTCTAATGTCACGCTCGTTGGACCTCGCTTTCCATAGAATCGATGTACGCTGGGTACGGCAAAAAAGGCCGTCGCAAGTTGCCCGCTGGCGTCGTTGGCCACCGACCATGCACCGATGGGCGCCGGATCAACGCTGTTGCGCACATTGCCTTGCAAGAGGATCTTGAAGTTTGCATTCAAGTTGGCTTGGTTGAGCGGAGCAATCTCCACCATCGGTGGCGTCCCCGCAACGACAGTAATGGTCGTCGACGTCGACTCTTGTCGGTTCGTGTTGGCGTCCGACACGGTGAGCGTCACGAAAAGCGTCGTGCCGACTGCCAAAAAACTCTTGGGGACCACCGGTGTCGTGCCGTTGAGCAAGGCCAGTAACGCGCCGGTTGAGGGATTCGTGCAGTTCCAGAAGAACGTCAACGGCGGATTCGAGCCAACTGCATCGGGATCATGCGACAACGATCCGTTCAGGACCAGGTCGACGCCGGCCCCGACTGTGCGACTGGAGCCGCCGACGATGGTTGCGACGAGGCCCGAGCGAACAATTTCAAGCGCTACGATCGCCGTATTGGTACCGCCACTGGAGGTCGCTGCTTGAAAGGACACGGTGTAAGTCCCAGGTGGCAAGCTGCGCGCCGGCCAAATGACCTGGCGCGGGTTACGACTCGTCGACGTCGGCGCTGCGGCTTCACGAATCGTCCACGACAACTGCAGCGCTGCAGAATCCGAGCTACTCGAATTGCACGTTGGGGCCACCGCGACGCCCGACAAGACAATTGGGTTTGAGTAGGCCACACGCACCGCGCTCGGCCCGTCCATGTACACGGAGGGCAGCGCACTCGTCGACTTGGTCACGAGTAGCGTGGACGCCCCCGAGAGCCCGAAGTAGTTGGTGCAATTGAGGTGAATGCGGTAGCCAACGCCCACGATGAGCTCGGTCGCTGGCACCCGAATCGCCTGCGTCGACGCACTGATTTGCGCAAGCGAGCCGTTGCACGGCTGCTGCGTCAGCTCGACGACACAAGCCCATCGCCACGCCATTGGTCGCCCGCCCGATCCCGAAGTTGCAGTGGCGTCCAGCACCAGATCGTCGCAGGCGCCGAGCGAGGTCGCGCCTGCAATCGACACGACAGGTACGGGCGCATTCAACGGGGGTTGCACGGACACGGTCATGGACGCCATGCTCAGCGTCGATGTCGACGTCGACTTGAGCCCGGCGAGAACGGTGCAGGGTGCTAATGGAACTACAGTGGCGCCGAGGCCGAGGCCTATCACGACTGTACTCGTCGTGGTCCAGGTGCACACGGGCCCGAGACCAAACCTCGCAGTCTCAAAGACGCGGTCGCAGACAAATGATGACGCTGAAAAGCCCGAGAGATCGACGGCCCGTGAGAATGTCACGATCAACGACGCGCCCGAGTCGGCAAACATGGCCGAGAGGAGACGCGGTGGCGGCGTCATGTCGGGTGCGTCCACGATGGTCACTGCCACGCTTGACGGCGTCAACGCAGCGTACTTGACATCCATCGACGATGCGCTTTGCACCTGGAGTGTCCTAAACAAGCGCATGCCCTTAGCATTAGAGCCTTTCATACAAGGTGAGACGTACGCGAGAAACGGGTTGGTCGACAGCGCAAGGCCGGCGGGCGCCGAAACGACGATGGTCTGCGGCGAGTTCCAGTTGGTACTGCTGAAGACGGCTGTCGTCGGCGTCGTCACGAGCCCGCTCGAGCTGAACGAGACAACCACCGGTCCCGACGGCATGGTGGCCAGCGCGACGGTAAAGACGTCGCCGGCGCCACCCACGCCGACGGCCAGTTGGAGCCGGCCACCGAGCGTCGGGCCCACAAGAACCAGAGCCGACCGATCAATATTACCAATGGTAAAGACCACGGACGGCATCGGCACGTAGGCATACCACGGGTCCGACGTTGACAGCTGCACGCGACAGCGGACGTACACGGTCGGTCGGTCGACGAAATCGCGCGCCGTCCGCATCGCGTAGACAACTGTCGGCGTATATGTGCTGGGGCTCATGGCTTGGGCCGACGGCGGCGCCACCTGGGACGTGTCGTTGCAGACCACGTAGATCCCAAGCGTTGCCTGCGGGCGTGTAAAGAGTGACAGCGTCAGCATCACGACATCGCCCTCGCTGCTAGCGATCGGGGACACGGTGAGGTTGTTGCCGACAAAGTTGGCTTGGACAAGGACCGATGTTGTCGCGGATGTATTGGACGTCGGAACGACATTAGTGCTGCTGAGCCGAAGCGAAAACGATCCGCCGTCGTTGGCACCGATCGTTGCCACGTACAACGGCGCGTTCGGCCGCACGTCAAAGGTGTCGATGCCGTTGCTCGTCGCCGACGCCACGATGTTGAGGTTCGAGCTGTTGCAGCAGACTTGAAACATACTGGCTTGGCCGTGCAGCTGGAAGCGCCAAATGTCGATGGTTGGCGACCGCGCGGTCGCGAGGCTCGACGAAAGAATCGGCAACTGCATGAAGCGACTCGTGAGCGTGTACTGCGTCGGCGCTGCGGTGAGAAGAGGCGCGTGGGCCACTGGAAGAACAGGAAACGAGGTGCTGATGCTGGCGTTGGCAATGCTGCGGGGATAACTATAGGCTGCAATCTGGGCGACGGCGACGCACGAGATAGCAACGACGCCGCTCCCGATCGGCACGAGCTGCACCGACAGCGTCGACGACGTCAGGTCCCACTTTGGAGGACCAGATGCACTTGCTGCCGCAGGGATTATCGAGCAGGCAACCGAAACAACCTCGATCATCGAGTGGTTTTGCACAGTCATGGGTAGTACAAGTGCGGCGCCCTCAAGAATGGCCCTTGTAGGGGTCTGTAGGCGTAGTACGGGCGGCGAAGCGACGGGGTAGACCGTAAACGTGACGGGCAGTTCTTGTATAAATGCGACACCCGAGCAGTTGGCCGTGGCTATCACCGTCAAGTTGCTCGCACCGACGGCATTTGGGCTTAGAAAGGCAGCGACGTTCAGCACAAGTGCATTCGAGCTGCTCGGAAACGCGATGGTGGGTGCCATAGTCGAGTTCAAGTCGACGCGGTCGCAGGCCGAGCAGGACCATGTTAAAACAACGGTGGTCGTCGGATCGACCACTGAGACGGCGATGGTAAATGTGAGCGGGTCGCTTGAGTAGAGAGCCCAGGGTCCCCACACCGAGTCGTTGTGCGGGACGACAACCGCCAGCACCGGTGTTTGCGCGGTAGGTAACACCGACACGTTGAGCGACCGGACGTGCACTGAGCTCGACACGATTTGGCCCGCGACCGCATGGCTCCACAAGACGACGACGGTGGTCGATGTCAGCTGCAGAGTTGTTGTGCCGTAGGCGTAGCGAGTCCACTGGAGAGCCACCGGCGCAAGCGTATTCACCTCACTGCCTAGCGGTGGCGTGACAAATGATTGCGATACGACCACTTGGTAGATGACGTCAACGGCTGGGTCAGTGGGCTGTAGTTCCACTGAGGACGCTTCCGTGTTGTTGATATTGAGCACAGGCGTCTGCAGCGCTACCGATACGTCGGTTGTCGCGGTCCATTGCGTGGCGGTTGGCGGCGTCGGCAACAGAATGGACACGTTGAACAGTTGCTGCACCGGTGGCGAGACTTGAACACCGTTCGTTGTCGTGAGCATGACGGCAAGGCCAAAGATACCGACGTACGACGCGTCGATGATCACCGTCAGCGTCGCACCGGGTACTGGGTTCAAAAACAAACATGTTTGGTAGTCGGTGTCGGCGACCACCGAGACCCCGTTGCACGCAACGACGGGCACAACTGTCGGTATGACAAGCCGAGCTAAAAATGACACATCCGCATCCTGCGTCCCAGCGCTCTGCAGCGTCACGTGGAGCGCGCGGTCGACGACGGCGATACTTGCGTCAAGGGTCGGAGGCATCAGTTGCAGCGAGACAAAGAGCCGCGAACGCGAGAGCGAGTGCAAGCTGTTGACATCGTTGTAGAACGCCCAAAAGAGCGTGTCGTAGCCGGTGAAATTCACGCGCGGCCAGAGCAAGACCGACGTGGTGCCACTGGGGATGGTAAATCCCACGATCGACGCGGTTGTCGGCAGCAGCACGGGGCGCAGGACGACACCGTTGGCAACAACCTACGCCGATAAGTTCTTTCGTAGCTCGTCACTCTCATACTCGCACCATTTCGATCGACTGCATATGTGAGAGATCCCAGAGCGCAACAGACGCTGCAGGTGGGATGGCCACCGACACGAAGCGGGAACCGTTGCCAGATGTGGTCACGGACTCTGGCATGGGCCACGGTGGGGAGAAGAATGTCCGGCCGTAGACCAAAAGCATCACGGACGTCGTCGCGACACTGGCGCGACCCGACGATGCCACATAGCTTGAAACAGCGATCGGCACCTAGCAAAGAGGCTTGAGGACGCCACGCAGCTGTGAATGAATCGCTACCTCTGCAATCCCGCTGAAACTGGCATCGGCCTGCAGCGTTAGCACGACGGTGGCGGTGGCGAGTACACCATCAAACGTCCACGTGATACCGTAGTTCCAGAGGACACTCTGCCGAACAAGCATTTGACGCACGACGCCCGTCGCACCCGAGCTCGAGATGCCTGTCGGCAGCGACATCGTTAACGACACATCTTGCGCCGTCGAAAAGTTTGAGACAGAAATCGCGACGGCCGTCGGGACTCCTGCCGTGGCTTCAACAAACGACATGTTGCTGGTGAGAACGGGCGTGACGAGGCGTACATGGCGATGGATCGATACTGCATAGGCACTTGTATCGTAAAGGCTCGGCAGCGCCAAGCACGTACTGATCGTTGTGGCACTAAGGCAGGCGGTGCTGTACGCAGTGAGCCGCAGCAAGAGAGGAAGCGTCCCCAGAGCTGTGGCGGTTGGTGTCACGAGAAGCGACCCATTGAGGCTGCCGTTCGGGGCCAGCAAAACCGCGCACGTTCGCTGGCTCACCAAAGGCACAAGTACCGACGTGGCAGAGATGTTGTCTTGCCACACGAGCTGAGCGATCCAGTTGAGCGGCCCCGTGAGCTGCAGCCAAAATGGCGATGACAGCGTCGCGACGGCGAGAGGTATTTGAAGGGGCGCGTCGCCTTGCTCGACGTTCCACACCGCTTGCGGTAGTCGGAGGAGGCTCGGCGCCAGCGTTGCTAGCACCAACACTGTCGCTGTTGACGTCGCTCGCACGCTACCAAGTACGAACGAGCTTTGCACGGTACAGTTGAAGCTTATGGGCAGTGATGTCGTCCACGTATCCCTCCATACCAGCGCTATTTGAAAGGGTGCCGAGAAGGCGCCAACGAGAGCGGAGAGGTCCCCGATGTCAACCGAGTTATTGGTGGTGAGGTTGACACTTGCCACGGATGTCATTGCAATGACTTGGACGCCTTGGAGGAGGCTGTGAGGACAAATCATTGACGCTTCCAGCTTGTAGCCAGGCGGCGGTGACTCCAACAGCTGCGCAACTTCGACAACAGACACCATGGACGGACTCGCCATGAGGGACGTGGTCGTCAGCGGCAGCACGGGCGGCAATAGCTGAGCTTGCGTCAACCACGCTAGCCAAAAGAGGGTGTAGAGTAGCGCGCTCTGGCTCTGCATGGTGCTGCCGCCTTTCGCGCTCGGCGGTTTCGATCTTAAAATGCAATCGCGATGCAAATTTTGAGTCTGTTCGTAAAATGTATGAATGAACTTAGAAGATGCATCTGCTGTATAATGTATAGCTGATCCATTTGCATCACGGTTCATCAACTCTCACTCTCCGATATAGTATTTGCCACATTAAACTCTACGATTTAGAGGTCCATAGAGTTCTTACTCGGGCGCGTCGTTGAAGTTCATATCGTCCATGAGATACTGCATCAGGTCTTCTTCGTTTTCGATCGCGCGCGCTGACTCGAGCTTTACGAACGGTACTTTTGTACTCTTGTGTACCGGTGGCCGATGAATGGTGCTTTCCACTATGATTGGCGGTGTCGTCGTCGACGGCTCGGTCTCGAGGTCCAACGAGCTCAGAAGCGTGTCGACGAGTGCCGCGTTCTCATCTTCAATCGTTGCGGCAGCTTTGTTGCTTGCGAAGCGAGAAGTCGACTTGGTCGGCGAAAGCGACCCGTCCAAGGAGACGCGAATGAGCACAACAGACGTGTTGTCTTCGCCGCCGCACGCCGTGACGCAGTGGTTGGCGAGCTCTCTTGCAATGAGCTTCAGCGGCTTCAGCGCCTTGAGCCCGGCCCAAATAAAGTTGGCGACGTCGTTGTTGTCCATGACCGAGTAGAGTCCGTCGCAAGCGACGACAAAGACATCGTCGCCGTCCGGCGAGATGGACCACTCGGAGATCTCGGGCCACGCGGCGAGCGACGAGCCAAACGCGCGCTTGATGTCAGCATCGCCAAAGGCCCGCGTGACCGTGAGCTGTCCAAACGTCCGGTCGTTTTGAATAAAGCCACCTAGAAACATTGATACTTTTCTGAAGGTTTGAAACACAACGGTACCGCGGTCGGTGATGTACGCCTTTTCTTCAACGTCCGAGCACCGGTGGTCGCGCGAAATTTGAACCACGCAGTCGCCGCGCAACAGGAGCGCTCTAGTCAATCACTAGTATGGACATGTCTCGTCCATGTGTGCGCTCTTACCGCGAGTCGCCAACGTTGACGCAGTACATCTTGTCCAGACCGTCGTAAAATAGTCCGATGAGCGTGCTCCCCGACCTGAACAGACATTTTGCGAGCCGATCGCCGAGAGAATGCAGATTACGTGTCGTCGTAGGGTGCATACGCCTCTTCAAACCGGTGGTCGAGACTGAGGCACGTAGCGTACAGAGCCTCTCTGCACAAAATCGCATCACAATACCAACGACAGGTTACCTACCGGACCGTCTTGTCCTTGGAAAGCTCAGCACCGAGCGTCGCCTGCACATTGTCGACGAGGAAGCGCGCGCACGTTATGCCGGCGTGGCCGTCCGCGACGCAGTACAGTGCCGGGTGTAGGCCCAGGAGCGAGTCGCCGCCGTTCACGAACGAGTCGACGAGCACGTACATGTCTTCCATGACCGAGCGTGTACCCATTTCGCACGCGACGCCGCTCTCGCAGTGGGCGACCGTCATCTCGGCCGCTTGAATCCGATGCTTCTCCTCGAGGCGGTGCAGCAGCGGGGACCGGAGGTCCCACGGCGCATTCGTGGGGCGTAGCGTCATTCGGAAGGCGTGAAGGACGGTCCCGATCGTATACGACTTGCTCCACCCCTTCTCTGTGCGCTGGAGGAGGTTCATAATGACGACCCGCGATTTGGAATGCACCATCGCGTGCGGCCATGTGCCAGGGCACTTGACGATCGGTGGGAGTGCCCCATAGTGCGCGGTGAAGACAAAGTCGAGCTTGAGCACCGGCGTCGGCAGCGAAATGTCGGGGCCGTCGCGGATCTGCACGACGAGGTGCACGCCGTTGGCGATCGCGAGCTTGGGCGTCGAGAGATCGGGCGACGTTGTGATGATCCATAGCGCGGCTTCATGCTTGACAGCTTCGATCTCGTCGCGGAGGCGGTCGACGCTCTGGCTTGCCATGGCGCCGGAACCAACGACACTCGTTACTCTTTTACGGGTTAAAAATGGCGCGAAACGCATGGGATACATGTTGCTGGTCACCCGACATGATTGCCCCGAGAGGACGTCGCCGCATCATGATCTAGTTGCAGGACTATTCAGTCTTGCTCTCCAGCGGTG